AGTGCTAGAGTGATCTCGGAGCATCATTGGAGACTTGGGTGGAAGATTCAAGTCTAGAAGAAGAAGAAGATCTTGAGCTCAAATTTGTAACCCTCTCTCTCTCTAGAAACTCACTCTTTTCTTTTGGGTGTTGTAGATCGCTAACTAATACTTTGTGATTACTTGTTTAGATTGAATGATTAAGTGTGGGTTTGCATCAATTTGAGTATTAGAGGTGTTTTCATGGTGATTGTGCATGCTCATGCTTAGCAATCTTAGGGTTGTGCATAATTGTGCTTAGCACCCTTAGGTTTGTGCATGTTGGTGCTAGCAACCTAATTAGCCACCTTAGCCTAGCTTAGAGAGGAAAATCCCTCTTCCAAGGGAGACTCAATTGAGTTGGTTTTCCTTACGCTTTCTAAGCCACCTAAACTAGGTTAAGTTAGGGCAACCCTCAATATTGAGTTAAGCTAGTCGGTTAATCGCGATTAAGCCGTTCGACCTTAGAGTTGAGTGAGGGAGTAAGTCAACTACCGATTTTCTAAACCGAGAGGGTCGAGTGACACGGCCTTTCATGCTTAACTCAGTTTAGCAATTGAGATTGTGGTCTCCGACCACATATGCATCCCTCAGCGGTTTGTGGTTACCATTTTGCATCTAGGTTGTTGTGATTAAGCCGCTCAAAATCCGGTTTGAGGGAAAGACCTAGGCAACCACTAGTGAGTGAGTGAGAGGATCGATCCCGTGAAAAATCGACCTCCAGTGAATCCATCCCGTGACAAAGGGATCACTAGTTGCTCCTCCTAGTGGTTCCCTTAGATATGGTGAGTGGATCGATCCCGTGACAAATCGATCCCTAGTGATTTGATTCCGTGACAAATCGATCACTAGTTGCTCACCCCCGCGGTTCACAACCACCTACACTGCACGACTCCATTCAATCCAACGAGTCATGATAGCTAGTTAGGGGGAAGCAACTCCCGGTTGAAGCTCCCTTAGTTAGAGTTTTCCTTTATTTACTTTTCCTTGCTTGTTTAGTTTGTAGTTCCATTAGCTATAAACCCAAAAGTTGCTTGCTAGATAACAACCTAAGCGATTGAAGTAGGGTACATGGATCGGCTCGGGTTGGCAATTTAAATACTTTCTCTATACTGCACCCGGCTAGAGTTTAAAAACTTGGAACTCTAGTCGGGATTAATTTGTGGTATAGTTTCTTGCAAGTCAGCAGGTCGTCTAGATTCGTCACATCGATCATGCATGGCCACATCTGACTTCTCTTAAGTAATCCCATCTACTGTGTCTCTCTCTTACTTTATTTCAAAATTAATAGCTCTCACTTCTCTCTACCAGTAGCAGTAAACACCTTTCCCCTTCCCTAAAAGGTTGCCGCTAGCTCCCTCTGTTGATCGGCAGTGGCCCAATCCCCTCACCTTTTATCTGCTTTTCCTTTGATCCTTGCATGTTCCTATTTTTCTCCTTCTATTGTCTTCTTTAAGTGTTTGTTTGTTGCCCTTTTTGCTGCAGTCTAGGCTTTATATGTCCCTTTGTTAGTTCTTTCTTCCTCCCCCCTCTGGTGGGTTGAGTAATTTGCCCTCTGATCTTGTCACTCGGATCTGGAGATGACGGTCCGTTTCTAATATGTGATGGAGGCCGGATTTGGTCCAGTACTTCTGGTTTGTTTTCTCCTTTTCTCTCCCTTGTCTACCTCCATATCACACATTGCAGATCCTGGTGCGTCGGAGATGTTGACGTTGGCGTCAGACTCGGAGTGGAAAGCTTGAAGACAGAGGTTTCGTTCCCTCTGGTTTCTTCGTCGGTGATTGGTCGGTTTTCGTTGTCCTTTAGTTCTGATCGGAGGGAGGCAAGAGTCGGCTAGCCTGGGAAGGAAAGGTGGGAGGCTCCCTTCCACTTCCCTTCATCTGGGTTCGGTGGGAATCGATCAAACGACTGATTTGGTGCTTGGTGGCGGTGGCGGTGTTGGTTGGGTGTCCAGAAAGCGGTGGTGGATTTTGACTGCGGCGATGGGGAACCAGAGGGGGCAGAGAAGGTGGCTAGGGTTTAGAAACCCTTTCATGTTTTGGCCCGGGTCTGGGCCCTACTGGGTTATCGGCCCAAATGTTTGGGCCTCTTTGTTTTGGTTTCTAATCGAGTCCCTTTTTTTGCTTGTACCTTTCCATCAGGCCTTTAGCCCGATCTTGGGCTGCAAATGAGTCGAGCTGAGCCGAATTTTACCTCAGCTTGAGTTTCACTGGTTAACAAATGAACTGAGCTCGAGCTCGAACAATTTATTAATGAGCCGAGTCGAGTCGAGTTTGAGCTAGACTTGTTTACTAAATTCTTAGATCGTATTTGATACATTCATTTTGTATGTCGTGTATGGTACATGTGATTGATGGATAAAAAAAATAATCAAATGTTCAATATTAATTAATTAATCTTATATTAAAATTTGTAGGTGTCATATTGTTTAGTTAATAATTTTAACTAGTTCAAATCATGTTATTTCATAATATCGACACAATTTTGTGCATAATTTCTTTATAGAATGAAAATAAGGCGTATTTTCTTACATGTTCAACATGTTAAACTTCACATGATGTGAAATATATAATTTAACAATCCTGTGAATTATGAAAGTCCAAATTAGATCGATTCGTCCATAAGTCGGTGATCAAGTTGGCCCTCAAACCACAATATTTAGACATCTCATTAGCTCTAATGAGCTAACTCACAAGTTGAGCTCAACAAGCCACCGAGTCGAGCTAGCTCGCGAGCTGAACAAAACTAATCTCAAGCTTGGCTCATTAGTAAACGAGTCGAGTTTCGAACGAGTTTTTCCCGATTCGGGCCTCGAGTTGCTCGCGAGTAGCTCGACTCATTTGCAGCCCCACCCCGATCACATTGTTAATGACACTAATCTTTCCAACAACAAAAAAAAAAAAAAAAAAAAAGATCATGCATGGCCGCCTGCCACGGAAACTGAAGTTTTCTTGTGTTTAAACAAAGCCTTCCGTGGCGTCAATGGAAAAGCAGAAATGTATTTATCCATGGAAATGCCAAAAAAACCACCGCGCAAAATGACGATCGACGACGATGATAGCTATATGTAAAGAGCGACAACGCATCGGCAGCAGGGGAATGAAAGGGCCGGAATTCAAAGAGAATGTATGAATATGAGACCGCCCGCAATCCCCGGCCACACGCAGCAGATCAGCTCTGTTTTCTTTCTTCTCAAACGTACAGTTTGCCAATTTGAATGCTGCTGCAGGAGCAACAAACTGACAGTGCTGATATGGATAGATATTACTTGGCTTGGATCGGTCAGGTACTTGATTGTTGTAGCAAGTTTCCTTTCTACCAAATCGAATAGTATGCATGCCCAACCGGTAATTAATCGATCTGACCCAATCAGTGGCGGATCTAGAAATTATTAACAGGGGTGTCCTCTTAAAAAAAAAAAAATAATAATAATTCATAAATAAAAAAATATCGGACTAGTACAAATTTTAACATAAGGCCACGACGTGTTTTTATATTCTAAAAAAGAATAAAAAATAGGCTTAGTAAATTGCTCAACAAATCTGTATATTTTACTAGACAATAGTTCACGAACTGAGTATGGATTTCTAACCTTGTTATTGATGTAACTCAAAGTTGAAAAGACTCTTTCAACACTAGGGATGGCAATGGGTCGGGTTGGGTCGGGTTTTGCCAAACCCAAACCCAAACCCATGGGTTTATCCGTGAAAAAAACCCGGGGTAAAACCCACTGGGTTTGAAAAACTCAAACCCAACCCGCAGGGTATCCGCGGGTTCATGGGTACCCACGGATTTTTATCGTAAAAAATTTACAATAACAAGTTCCTATCAATATTAAAGTCAAATATTAATCTCTCAATACAAATTATCCATATATAAAACACCATTCTTGAAAATTCAAGCAAATCACAAATTAACTATGCAAATTGTTCAACACCAATCTAGAAAATTCAATAAAATTGAACAAATCACAAATTATTCATAAATAACATGATTAATAGAAAGCTTCTTCCTTTCAATTAAGTTTTCACTCTCCACTCGATAACATCAACTTCATTCTACACAACTAGAAAGAAAAAATTAGACATGTCTCCACAAACATAAATAAGATTAGTTGTTTAGATTATTAAATATGCCGAGAAAATTAATTATATGGGTGTGGGCGGGTACCCATGGGCCGGGTTTACCTAAACCCAAACCCAACCCAACCCGGTGAATAGTGAACGGGTTTAAACCCAAACCCGGCCCAAAACCCGTCAACACGGATTTTACCCGCGTTGACCGGGTTGGGTCGGGTGGGTACCCGTGGGTTCGGGTTTTGTTGCCATCTCTATTCAACACTTGTTGTGTAACCATAAAATCAATTCAAATTCAGGGTAGCCCGTAATTAGTTTAATTGTTAGCTTTTGGAAATAGTCGGGGATAAGGAATAACTTTTAACTATTATGAGAGTGTTTAAAATAGAACAACAAATGAGTTCCAACTTAATGGAGGACAATTTTTAAAAAATATAGTACATCCTAAGTTTGAATAACACATACTATCGCTTATTTTTTTAAGTATACGCAAACTACTACTGAGAATAGTATTATCGTTGTAGGGGTGCCCGAATCACTAATTATAATCTTTTATCCATACAAACCTATTACCGGGGGTTGAATAATCGTATTCCTAAATTTTAGGGGTGTCCCGCTAAGCCCTCATGTATCCGCCCCTGGACCCGATGTATTAACCTTGTTGCGAGACGTGTCCTTTGTTGTACATATTATTTAGTTGGTGGGGTGTTTTGTTGTTTTCCATTGTAACCCTATAAGCTAGACGTTGGGTTATGTAGAGGTTAGGCATATAAATAGCCTGCATCAAGAGGCTCGGCGTGTGTAACGGGGAAACCACGTTAAATCATTGTGTTTGTTTCCTTTTCGCGTTTGGTTTTCTTCATGGTATCAGAGCTGTGACAAGATCCTCACTTTCGTTGCGTAACGATGGGTGACACATCTGCTTCCACGGTCTCTAGTGCTGTTGTTCAAAGTAACGGTGGTGCTGGGACAGGAGATGTTGTGATCGGCGGCAGGTACGAAACTGATCCTGCCTCGCCTTATTTCCTGAGTCAGTCCGATAACCCCAATCAGATGTATGTGGGAGAACTTCTTAATGAGACCAACTATGCAGATTGGGTGTATGAGATGACCACATCTCTTCTTGCAAAGAACAAACTAGGTTTTGTTGATGGTTCGCTGGCCGCTCCCATCGATCCGGGAAAACTCTGTGCTTATCGTCGTACGGACGCAATGGTGAATGGGCGGTAAACCTCTGTCGTTGACAAGCAGGTTCGCCATGGTATGCGGCAATGCCAAGACCGCTCGTGAAGTCTGGGTCGACCTAAAGGAGCGCTTCGAGCAACGGAGTCATCCTCGTGTCTATGAAATCCGCTACTCCGTCAGTCGTTTGTCCCAGGAGAAGCTGTCAGTCTCCGAGTTTTATACCCAGCTTCGTGCTTTTTGGGAGGAGCTATCTACTATGGCTCCATTGCACCCATGCACATGTGGGCAGTGTACGTGTGGACAGGGGCGGAAGAATCAGGAGCGGGAGGAACAATTTCGTCTCTATGATTTCCTCATGGGCCTCGATGAGTCCTTTTCCACGGTCAAGACCCAAGTTCTCTCTATGCCTACCATGCCCACATTGGCCGAAGCCTACCAATTGGTTTCGACCGATCATCATCAACGACGTATTGCAGCAAGCAATCGTCCGACTCCTGAGGCTGCTGCCTTCTTCACGCGTGATGATCAGAGTCGTGGTGCTGGGGAGAAACCGAAGTGTAGCCATTGTGGCAAGCAAGGCCATACAAAGGATCGATGTTTCGATTTGATTGTTTGGCCGGAGAAGAGTGGCACGAAGTCGGATAAGAATTCTCGGAAGAAGGGTGCTGATCGTTCTCGTAGTGGTCCAAAAGCGGCTCAAGTCGCTGTGACCGAGTCTCCAATTTCAGGTCTTACCCTTCAGCAGTTTGAGCATCTCAAAAGCTTCCTCAACGATGACTCTAAGGGTCAACTCGATGAAGTTGGAAAGATGACAGGTAATTCTTCTCAAACCTCTACTGACTGGGTTATCGATACTGGATGTAATCAGCATATCACCAAGGACGCGAGCTTGTTATCTACTGGTTTTCATGAGTTGGGGCTTGCGGTCCGAGTTCCTGATGGTGCTGCGATTGATGTTCACCAGGTCGGTTCAGTTCAGCTCGGGAACGGTCTAACGTTGCCTCGAGTGTTACTGGTTCCAGATTTTAAGTGCAACCTTCTTTCAGTTAGTCAGCTCACTAAACAATATCCATTTGCGTTGATTTTCTTGGGGGATTTCTGTTTTATTCAGGACTCACTCTCCAAGAATCTGATTGGGATGAGTAAGGAGAGTGATGGTCTTTATTACCTGCACCTCTTTGATCATGTGCGGCAGGCCATGGTGCACGCGACGCAGGCAGATGCGGCTGTAGCGTTATGACACTCTCGACTTGGTCATCCGGCGTTGGAGAAGCTGAATCGGTTGCATTTTCTCTCTAGTTCACGTTGGTCAAAAACAGATTTTTGCTCATCTTGTTTACGAGCTAAACAGCCTCGAACTCCTTTTCCTTTGAGTTCTCTTCGTAGTAGTTTGACCTTTGAGTTAGTCCATGTGGATATTTGGGGCGGATACAAGGTGGCCTCGTTGAGCAGTGCTCATTTCTTCCTAACGATTGTTGATGATTTTACTCGTGGTACGTGGATTTATTTGATGCGTTTTAAGTCTGAAGTTGGGAAGTACCTTGAGTCTTTTTGTCAGCAGGTTAAACGTCATTTTGGAGCTGTAGTTAAGCGTATTCAGGCCGATAATGGGGTTGAGTTTCAGACTACTCAACTTCGTGATTACTATGCTCGAGAAGGAATCATTCTCCAAACGTCTTGTGTTGATACGCCGCAGCAGAATGGAATTGTTGAACGCAAGCAACGCCAATGCAGTCAAAAACGTGATTCTACCTAGAAGCGGAAAAGGGGTAAAATCGTAAAGCGTTGAATTAAAGCGTAAAAACGTAAGTTTTTGACGCATACTGTAAAATAATTAAAAAACTGTTAAGTACGACATATACTATGTAAAATATGAGTACACAGAATTTAAATAAGTTAATAAATACCTGCAACTTATAGACTCTTAATAATAAGTTCACAAACATAATCTTAATTATAAGCCACCTTCTTTTCTATGTTAATGAACTTGTGAAGAGCCTAACTGGTGAATTATATTACTCTATTGAAGCTGAAAATACATCCAAGTATGTGGTATGTATATTTTCTTTTATCTCAAATGCATCATATTGTTGGTGATTTACCTTTAAAATATATATTTTATAATTAATTTCACGAAAACACTGCCAATTTAGTGAACTAAAAACGTAAAAGCTAAATTGTTTTGGTGAACTAGAAGCGCAAAAGCGTAAGCTTTTAAGTTTTAAAGCGCAATTAAGTCCGATTTTATACATTAAAGTTTTGATATGGAAACAAAAGCGTTTTGGTGATCTGGAAGTGTAAAACCGTAAGTTTTTAAGTTTTAAAGCGCAATTTTGACTGCATTGAGCACCACCATATTCTCGAGACTGCTCGTGCTTTGCGCTTCCATGCTCATTTGCCTCTTAGGTTCTGGGGAGAATGTGTTTTAACCGCTGTGTATCTCATTAACCGGCTTCCTTCGTCGCTTGATCATCACAGGTCTCCGTTTGAGAGTCTTTACGGTCGCAAACCAAATTATTCTCATCTGCGAACGTTTGGGTGCCTTGCCTTCACCAAAGATACCCATCATCATCTAGACAAGTTTGCTGAACGTGGACGTCCATACATGTTTCTTGGATATCCCGACGGGCAGAAAGGTTATCGCATGTTTGATCTTCGTACGCATCGTTGTTTCACTAGTCGTGACGTTGTTTTTTAGGAGGAGCACTTCCCTTTCCAGCGGATGCCCTTGACTTCTGTTGTTCCTCCGTGCATCCCTTCTACTGAGCATGGAGTGGTGGCTGATGTTGGTGCTCGTCCGGAGGAGGTTGTGCGTGATATGGCTGACGTTGTGGAGCCTACGAGCCCGTCGGCCACACCGCCAATCCTCCTGAGTCCAACTTTGGACGAGTCTTCTCCATCCTCGCCTATTATCTCCACCCCTGGGAATTCCGCTAGCTCAAGTGATGTTCCCAGTTATTCCCCATCACCTCGACCCGCGGAAGTTGCTCCACCCCTTGCTGTTCGTCGAGGTGACATGGCACGTCGGGCTCCTGTTTATTTAACCGACAACTACGAGGTCACGTTCCCAAATTCTAAAGCGAGTTCTTCCTCTACTTATCCTTTAGCTAATGTTGTTAGCTATCACCGCTTGTCTCCTAATTACCATGCCTTCTTCGCAGCTGTGGATCACACCTATGAACCTCGACGTTTCGTGAGGTTGTTCGTTACCCTTGGTGGCGCGAGGCGATGCGAAAGGAAATTGCTGCCCTTGAGGCTCATGGGACCTGGGATCATCGTAATCCTCCCCATGGCAAACGTCTTGTTGATTCTAAATGGGTGTTCAAGATTAAATTTCGGCCGGATGGTAGCATTGAGCGCTACAAAGCGCGTCTTGTGGCCAAAGGCTTCACCCAGGTGGAAGGTCTTGACTTCCATGACACTTTTGCTCCTGTTGCAAAATTGGTCACAGTCCGTTGTGTGCTCACTGTTGCTGCCCAACGAGGTTGGTTTTTGCATCAACTTGATGTCAATAACGCGTTCCTCCATGGTGATCTGGACTACATGTGCCTGTTCGCGGGGCAACCCCTTTGTATTGCGACAACCAGGCAGCTCTACACATCACAGCTAATCCCGTCTTCCATGAGCGGACAAAGCATGTGGAAATGGACTGCTACTTTGTACGAGAACGAGTCGCTAGTGCAGAAATTGAACCTCGGAAGATCTCCACCAATCATCAGCTTGCGGATGTTTTCACCAAAGGACTGGGAGCTGAGCAGTTTACCTACCTTTCTTCCAAGCTTGGGCTTCATGACATTCATGCCTCGGCTTGAGGAGGAGTGTTGCGAGACGTGTCCTTTGTTGTACATATTGTTTAGTTGGTGGGGGTGTTTTGTTGTTTTCTATTGTAACCCTAGAAGCTAAACGTTGGGTTATGTAGAGGTTAGGCATATAAATAGCCTGCATCAAGAGGCTCGGCCGTGTGTATCTGGTGAAAACCAAAACCTAAAACTAGTAAAGTTTATCTTGAGAGCTATAGCTCTCCGTGGAGTAGTCTCGTTCACGTTGAACCGGGAAACCACGTTAAATCGTTGTGTTCGTTTCCTTTCCGCGTTTGGTTTTCTTCAAACCTGATCAAACCTATAACCCAACCTGATTAACATTTTATATTTCGACATAATATTCAACCAACAATCTGACCAATCCGCAAGCCCTACTGACTCATAGCTTGACCAACACGATGGGAACCCAACTGGTGGTCGATCCACAGCTCATGAATTAGCCCAACCGAACTACAAACCGAACCGGTCGCCGTTTGCCGCATCAATTCATCCATCATCACCTTAATTAATTGTTTTTGCAATGCAACTTGGATTCTGTGGGTCGTATAAGTACACCGTATCGTTTACTTTTGCTGGAGAGAGAGAGAGAGAGAGAGAGAGAGAGAGAGAGGAGAAGTCAACAAATTGACCATCGAGACATTCTGTTCTACTTAAGTACTCGACTTGCTTTAATACTAAAAACGTAATAATAGCAGTAAAGCTGGAAAACTAATTACATAACATTTGCAACAACATGATGTATTAATGATAAATATGCATGAAAAATATTGATCAATGACTAGCATTATTAATTAAGACATTTAAACACATCATTATAAAAATAAACAATCAATCATAAACCATAATTTGATCATATAATATATGATTGAATCAACTAACAAACCTACAGTGGAGGCACTCTAATATTCAGAGGTCCTATGCCGAAGTGCCTTCCGACGCGCCTTATTGGTCGCCTGTATCTGAGGGGTCATGTAAGAAAATAGTATAAGATCTGACGACCTATTGACATTTATTGGTCCTTCAAAATCAATATGGGAAGAAATGTGAAAAAGAATGAGAAATTTCGAAATAATAATGGGAGGATCTCATCAGCCAAATGTCGCATTTTAGGGATCGTTTGGTTTTGGTGATACTTAAATCAATGAATTGTGATCAATGCATGCATTATAAAATACATACAACTAAGAAAAATAATGTAATGTACTTTGCATTGTTTGGTTTTGGAAATAGTTCTTTAGTATTCAACAAATTATTTTTCTTTTTGTGGGAAAGATCACTATTGCCCTTACTTTTATTAGAATATATATATATGGTGACTACTTCGGTGCACTCACAAAAATGAGTGCGTTCAATGCACCCAACTCAAAAACTAGTATTAAGGTGTCGAATTTTGAATTTTAATTTGTAGAATTAGTTTAATATGATGATATAACATATGATAACAACTAATTAGCGGATTACCCTAAGCCCCGGACCTCCAATTTTGAGTTCTATCTCTAAACCCCAAATTGTAAACCCTAACTCTAATCATAAATCTCTAAACTCTAAATCCTTCAAATTTAAGTAACTTTTTAATGGTTCTTGTGCAAATTCATGTGCGTTATTGTTCATCACATAATAAGTGATGATTGACGTGATTTTGAAATAAATTGCATGTTTAAAATGACGGTTATGAAGTGAGTGTACTGAATGCACCCAAAAGAGTGAGTGCACCGAAGACGCCACCATATATATATAACTACAATTACGTGTATAATTGGAACAAAAAAAGGAACCCAACAATCTTCCTAAAAATCTCAACAATCTAAAGTTTTAGTAGAGATAAAATGAGTGATAGTTTTCATCACATAAAAAAAAATATGTATTATTTATGTAGAAAATTCAAAAAAATAATGTACTATAACTATCCAACCAAACAATCATCAAAACCAAAAGATTAATTTTCATTTACAAATAATATATTTGAACAAAATGTCTTAGATTGAGACTTTGGCCAGAAATTCCACACTAAAAAAATCTCCACCGAGACGACTACAAGAAGTCCAACTTGAAAAGATGTGAGGGAGGAGACTGACTGGGTGCACAACAAAACAAACGCAAGGCTAAAACTAGGGGTGAACAAACACACCCGCAAACCGACCCACCCGTCCAACCCGACCCAACCCACCCGTATTTATCGCTAAATCGAAGATTTTGGGTTGGGTGAGGGTTTTCTTTTGTACAACCCGCCTCTTTTGGGTTGGGTTTGGATTTTGGATTACACAACCCGTAGAACCCGACCCAACCCGTGTTCCAATTATTGGTATGAGTTCGTATCCAAAAAAATATTTATGTCGTATATAGTCATACTTATGAGAAAATTAAGATATTTCGCCATGTTTTCCTCTTTAAGTCTCACTAATCTAATGCATTCTTTGACTTAAAGTTTAGACATATATTTAATATAGTTATGATTCACGTAATCTTTTTTTCTTTTGTACAAGTTTAAAAGAATATCATATTATGGATGCGTTCATTTGTAACCTTTTGTAGCCTATTTCAACAAATGTCGTGAAAAAAACTAGACATAAGTTGAAGTAAATCAAGTTTTACTAAACTTCAAACAATATTTGTGAATTTTGATACATTTCACCTCGATTTATTCGTTTGAAATTTTTAATTAGTTATACAATATTTTTACGATGTAGAATAATTACATATTTTGTGTTGGGTTGGGTTTTTACTTAAAAATATCGCCAACCCGACCCAACCCAATTAGAAACAAACCGTAGGGTTTAGATTTTTTTGGGTGGGTTTGGGTTTCATATTTCCCAAACCGTAGTGCATGGATCGGGTGATTAAAATGTCTAAACCCGAACCACCCGACCCATGTACACCCCTAGCTAAAACCGCGTGGGTCCTTAACACATCGTTTGCGGGTTGCGGCGGCTATGGTTTCTCCCCACCGTAACCCGGGCCCCAAAACAAACATTTTGCAATATGAAAATCCTCCAACTTAATCCACTTCTTCTTCCCATCACCAAATTGGCAAATTTCCTTTATTTTTGCCCACAATTATATTAATTAATTAACTTCTTTTAATTTTTTCAAAGTCATTCCCCATTCAATTAGATTAAACAATATAAAATTACATTGCAAATTATTAACTTGGGTTCTCAACTAGTTTCGTTCTCTCTTTCCTTTTTAATTAATAAAGTTAACACCTTTACTCGGAAGATACTCATACTTATACTCCACTTCCTATCGTATCAAACCCTTGTTAATAAAATTATTAGAACAATCGTTCGTTTCTGAGCCAAAGTAATTAGGGTAGCTTGCAAATTATTTGGAGGGTTTGCTACATTACAGCCTACTTATTCGTCTTCTATTCCCTTCTCTTTCTCTCTTTCTGTTTATTTCTAAATTGACAATCAAGATTTTTTTTTAATCCAAAATAAGTCCACAGGGCATGACCGAACAACAAATTTACAACATCGACAATAATAAAAAACGATAGTCCATATGCAAATGTACTCTCGATGAAAGAGACTATTTGGTCACTAGGTGAGCAGCTCTAAGAAAATTTCTGAAAGCAAAATGACACGAAACTAACCCAAAGAACGAAAATGTATAATGAAGTTGCCTTAGAAGGACTCTAACTTTGAAATGGGAAGATAGCTCTGCAAAATGCATAAAGAAGAAAGTTAAAAGAGGCATGTAATTAACAAGAATTTTAATTTTTAAATAAAATGCAATTGATGTAATTTTTTAATTCATAAGTGTAAATAATACGAGTAATTGTTTCAATACCAAAAATACTCTTAACTTGTATGTTGCAAACCACCTATAAGATTTGCACCAATATTTTATCCCAAGATTCAATGCTCTCATATATGTAATATTTTGTATAACATATATGTAGTCACTTGTTTTCAATGCAAGCTACCCACTTTTATTATGATCTTTTATCAACACGATCTTAGTCTTTAGTTGTGACGGGGTGGTGAACATGGAAATAGATGAATATATGCATAATAGAACAAATATTTTGTACTTATAATTATTAAATTTGCTAGTTGGCTAAGCTTTCATTTAGTGAGGATCATAAAAAATTACATTTCTCTTTTTTTTTCTTGGTATATCCATTCAGTCGTCCATACGGGATATTCATTAAATTAGTTGCGAGTTTACTTTGTTAAAACCGTTGCTATTCCTCAATCAAGAAATGTTATGATAATATTTAGTGTGGAATGCACGTTTTAGTTTGTAATTTGAGATTATATCTTTGAATCTTTCTATGAGAGAAATACCATTGCTTGAAATTTCCAATTTGATTAGTAAATTATATTTCATGCTGGAGTGTATAAACCTGGTATTATTTCCAGGATAGTTCCACTTCCAAGTCATAATTAGTTATGAGTGAAAGTTGGATATGATATTGCATCTATTTATGGGGGAAATATTATGTTTTTTTGGGTGAGAAAATATTATGTTTTTGAACAAACGACAGGATAAATTTTGAAGTATGAGAAGATCTTTTTGGTCTCCGCTTATTTATAACTCTTTTCAGTTTTCTTGGTAGTCATGGTGGCATGGATGTAATTGCAAGGGATGAATGAGGTCAAATAAGTGATAGGAAAGATGGTGCTATAAAAGGCCGTCTAGATGCTGATCCGTTGATATTCTTTCGGTAGGGGAGAGTAGAGAGTGGACCCTTCGACTTGCTCCAGAACTTCATTTGCGACTGTGAAATGAAAACCCATAGCTGGGGGCAAGTTCAAGTGTAGGACACAACAAAAGTGCAAACCTAATCCCCAGGTATGTGAGAAAGTTTTGAGCTTTAAAAAGATTACAACTTTCCATCTCCTTTGGTGAAATTCACTCATGGGTTCTGCTTCTCTCTCTCTCTCTCTCTCCATGTTCCATTTTTTACTGCTGATTTTTGCTTTTATGTGATGCGGTAGAGTGGGATGCTCTTTTTTTTTTTTTTTTTTCTGTTCTTGGCAAATTTTCGCCTTTTTGGGAGTTTCCATGGAAATCTCAGTACCTTTGAGTTGAGATTGTGGGTGAAGTAAATCTTCTGTTCTTGTGGCAAAAAAAATTTCATGGGAGTTGGTTGAAGTGGTCGGTGGTGGAGTTTGCTGTAGTTTCCTTTCCTGGTGTTAGAAGGAAGCTTTTCTCCATGGCGGGAGCTAAATATGTGAGGTGTTTCTTTCTCACCAGGAACTGTTAGCTCTATGTTATTGAGGCTTGCTATTTGATTGGTTTGATTTGGTCCCCATGATAAGTTTTACCAGGACTATGAGCACATAATAATCAACACAAAAAAGTGAACTTTTTGTTCATAAGGTCCAGTTGGGCAACCTTCTGGATGGAGAAAATAATCTTCTGCCCCCTTCACTTTTTGATCTGCAAGTAGTTATCATATGCTATGATTTTTCGATTTTGAAAACATTGATTTAGTTCGATTATATGGAAGCTGAGTTTTATTGTCTGAAAAGGATTGGCTTCAGGACATAATTTTGTTTGCATCCTGGATGTATTGTGTTAGTTAAGGAATATGGGGGCTGAGTTGTAAGGTTCTTCAGTCCCTTTGGTACCTTCCAGGTTAGGTGCAGAGAGTAGTGGGTGGTGGTTATCGGTTAACATCATGTTCTATACATGTGCTGTTTCCTGGTAGTTGTCATTTCATCAATCTTCCTTTTTTTTGGGTCCTTTTTTTCATAGATTCTGTCATTTAAAAGTTGCAAGATTCTTAAGCACGATACAGATCATCTGACAGAGTGATAGCAACTACCCCCCATTTTCATTTCTTGCCTAACCAAGTTAAAATGTTTAAAGTTTGGGCATTCTTATTGGAATCACAGGCATTTCCCAACTAGAAGATACTTTTTAGGGTTTTTAGGACGTAGTCGACGAATAGACTGTGTTTGTATGCTGTCTGTACATGAAAAACTAACTAACTAACATTATCATTTCGTTTGCTGATTTTGCAGATTAAGCAAGGTTGATATCATTTATGCCAAACAGAAGTTTGCGGCAATCTAATCTGAATCCACAACAAACAGTGTTCTTCAAGTGACAGGAAAAAGTACGACCATCAGTCCACTCTGTACATCCCAGCTGGTGCCTCTCAGGCCAGTGAGTTTCAATTGTGGTGTTAGATCTTCCAAACAACCGGATACTACCAATGCAAGCATCTCAGGAGAACGCAATCCCTGATGGGTCTCGCTTGTTCTTTAACCAGCCTCTGGGAGATAAGGAGTCATATTGCTGGTCATGCATCCAGAATGTGCCTCACTATCAATGTTCGAATGATGTGAGCATCCAGGGCTTGCATCTCTCAGCCGACACTTTTGAGCAGCACTGCACCCTAGAATCATCTTCTGGAACTGGTGGGTCATATGCTGCTCGCAATTCACCATCTACTACAGCCAGTTTCTCCACTAATGAGAGTGGCGTTTCCCAACAGAACTCTCTATCATATCCATCTGATGTTCACGATTCCCCTGACCAGACTAGTGGCTCACCAACAAGCGAGTCTTATGTCACCCACAAGCTAAGGGAATTGGAAACCGCCATGCTGGGGACTGATTTAGATGTTCTCAACTCATGCAATAATGGCATACTGGCAGCTGGAGGCAACAACCAAATCTCAACCGAGACAGAGAAGTGGAAGTTTCTGGGTGAAGTAATTTCTAGAGGAGATCTAATGGAAGGCCTTTGCATTTGTGCTCGGTTTCTTGAAGATGGCGATATGTTCACAGTGGACTGGTTAATTGCCGAGCTGCGTGGAATGGTCTCGGTTTCTGGTGAGCCGATTCAACGCTTGGGGGCATATGCTGTTGAGGGTCTTGTTGCAAGGTTGGCATCCTCTGGAAGTGCCATCTATAATGCCTTGAGATGCAAGGAACCTGTACTACCTGCCAGCATGGAGCTTCTCTCATACATGCACGTGCTCTATGAGATATGCCCATACTTCAAGTTTGGATACATGTCAGCAAATGGAGCGATAGCCGAGGCAATCAAGGAAGAAAACCGAATCCACATCATTGATTTCCAAATTTCACAGGGCACGCAGTGGATCACCTTAATCAAGGCTCTTGCTGATCGTCCTGGTGGGCCTCCACACATTCGAATTACCGGGATTGATGATTCAACATCTGCTTATGCTCGAGGAGGGGGGCTTGATATAGTTGGTGGAAGGCTGAAAATGCTTGCACAGCAGTTTAAAGTGCCATTCGAGTTCCATGCTGTTGGAATACCAGCTTCTGAGATTCAAGTTGAGAATCTCAAGATTCAACCGGGCGAAGCAATTGCTGTCAACTTTGCATTGGTGCTTCACCACATGCCGGATGAAAGTGTGGGGACACAAAATCATCGTGACAGATTGCTGAGGATGGTTAAAGGATTGTGTCCTAAGGTGGTAACTCTTGTTGAGCAGGAATCAAACACCAACACTGCACCATTTTTTGCCCGATTTGTGGAGACTCTAAACTACTACTCAGCTATATTTGAGTCGATTGACGTAGCTCTGCCAAGGGAGCATAGGGAGAGGATTAATGTTGAGCAGCATTGCCTAGCCAGGGAGGTGGTCAACATCATAGCTTGTGAGGGAGTTGAAAGGGTTGAACGCCATGAGCTTCTTGGGAAATGGAGATCACGGTTTGCAATGGCTGGGTTTAAACCGTATCCGCTTAGTAGTTACGTGAATGGCGCTATCAAAGCTCTGCTGGGAAAATACTCCAGCAAGTATACTCTAGAGGAGAAAGATGGAGCTCTTTATCTTGGCTGGATGGACCGCCACTTGGTTTCTTCTTGCGCGTGGAGGTGATCTATCAATAAAACCTAGCAATGATAATGAATGCTGATTTCGTTCATAATGTTTAGATGGAAACTCTTTGAGGTGATGAAACAAACTAGAAAAGTGTTTGTCTAAGGGCGCTTCAAAACCAATGTTTGCCTGTAGCTCATAATGTAACAGTTTATTTTGGTTACAGTTTATTTATCCAGTAAAAGAACATCCCCACCTCTCTAGTAATATATTCCCAACTGTAATGTCTCTGTGCTTTTACTTTCTGCTCCAACTTTAATTTGGAATTTCAGCATGCTTTCTTTTTTGCCTCAAGTGCAGTTACCTGGTGGCTGATGAGATTTGGTTTATTATAGAAACTGCCAATTATCTTGTGAATGCAATCTTTAAGAGTGTCATGTGAATACTATGACAAAGCAGGGAAGTATTGCGCCAGGATTTGTTACAACCAAAGATTCCGAGTTTGAGTTTGGATCAGTCTTATGAATATTTCTTCCATTGTTAACTTTGCTAGCATCTGTAGTAGTAGCCCCTGCAATTGCCCTGCACAGTACCACAGCTCTTTCTTGATCAGCTCCCACCACCACCTTCGACAGCCCGGTCACACAATGCTCATCAGTCAGTTCATCACTCCTTGTGCTGAGTTGAATACCACTGTTCTTCCTGTGGTGTTCTGTATTGAAACTACACCGAATCGCTCTGCAGACTCCACAGTTCTTGTTTCTGCACAGCTCCCTGGCTTCAGTAGCAGCAGCAGAGGAGTATTGTTGTTGATTGCAGCAGGAAATGGTGGTGCCGAAGAATCTGAGAACCTCATCCCCATCCACACTGCTCCTTGGATATCCTCTGAGCTCTTCTCTGCAGGCAATCTTCTTCACCTTCTCTCTGTACCTCTCGAACCTTTCCACGATTTCAGCAGAGTTGTTCACCCTCAACACCTTTCTTATCTTCCTTGTTGCAGAATTCGTGGGATTCAGAGATGATGATGCCCTATGGAAGATCATCTCGGCGACGTTCCTCGCCGGGTCTCCAATGCTCACCTCTACCCCTCAACAATTTGCAACAAAACAATTAAACAATGTAGCCTGTACAAAGAAATAAGAAACTGCTACAAGATTCATTCTGATGATCTTCTGAGCAAATGTGGATACCAATTACCAACAGAGGTTTCAGCACTCACCAACAAACTGTGTTCTTATCTTATGGGACCGTCGATAACTAGGTGGAGGACTGCAGCTGCAGCTCCTGGTTCTGGAGTCCTCAGCATGCTCATAGTGACGGCGGTCGTGATGGCCACAAACATCAGCTATCTTTCCCCGACAGCTTGGCTTGCAGTTTAGTAGCGACGTCCAGAGAGCCTGCATGGTTTACAGTGATGAATTTTGCAGCTCTGTGGGTTTGAATATGAATGTAGGGAGGAAGAGAGTTTAAGATGAGATGGTGGAGAAATGAGGGAGAACGTGGCTGCATGATGGTTTATCAATGGTTTCAGTACCCTGATAAGACTACGACAAAAGCTCTGCTTGTATGCTTATATATTCTGCATTTAATGCAAGGAATTGGCCAATGCCAGACCGCTCAGTAACCCTTCTAGTTCAGTTGGGGCGTTCTTGCATCCACTTTACTAAGTTGTTTTTTCCCCCTTAAAAGTTGTGGCATGTATTTTTCATTTTGTTTCATATCATATGTACTAAACACATTTAATTAACACGAATGAGGCAATGGTTGAGTGGTTGCGCCGTTAGGTCGTTTGGATGGATCAATCTAGAAATGAGTCAATTTGATCAATTGTCTCGTTTTATAAACGAGGCAATTAAAACGAGTCAATTCGAATTACCTACCCCCACTCCAGGTAATTGAAATTGACTCAAAACGGATCAATTCAAAATACCTCAGGCAGATTGATTCATCCAAATTTTTTGCTGGCAAACGAGACAATTTGGTACAATTGTCTCAAGACGAGACATTTGTGTCAAATTGATCCGTTAATCCAAACGACCCCTAAATAATATCTCTGTTCGGAGGCAAAAAGGAGATAGAGAAAGAGGAGGAACTGAACACCAACATTTCCCAATTGCCACCACCCAACCCAACAAAGAAAATGGGATTCAATGACATCACACACACACACACACAAAAAAGTTAGGTAGCAGCTGGAAATCGTAATTAGCTTTAGACGTAGCTTAGAGTTGAAGAGATGGAGCACTACTATACTATCCTTCTCCCAGTTGTGGGTAACAAATTAAGAGTCCGTAATGAGAACTGAGATGTTCTTTTCCCATATGAGTAAACTATTTGAGTATAGTATATGTATACATCACAATTCACAACAATAAAAAGGCCATATACATACAGCTGTGCCTTCATTACATTACAACCCAATCACAAACCATCTCACCTCCAAGGATGTGCTGTATTTTTGAGTCAGTCCCTTCCAAGCCACCAGCAGATTCCCCGACTCGAAGCAAAAACCGAGCAACCCTGTACCAATAATACTTCCGTTACTTTTCAGTCCAGAAGCTATGTGAGCTTCTACCAGGAAAGCTGACAGAAAGAACAATTGATGACAAGCACAAGCTCTAATGATGATCAGCTCTGTAATAGCAATGCTTACCATACCAGCATGGTTTACATCGACTAGGGAAATCCTTCAATTCTGGATTCACGACCAGCTGCTTCGATTTCACCAGCCGGAGGGAAATTTTCTTATTGTGCTGGCTTCACCGGGAACAGAAGATTCTAAGGACCGGTTAGTATTCTTCCCATATTTGGTGGGTAGGGGTAAGATGAGCTACGAGCCTCGCTTGGAGTTTGCCTAGTTGAAGCATATTGTGTCATGCCACCATAATAAATTGCAGCTTTGCTGAAACTGGGCCCGCCGGTCTGCTGCCCATGTTCAGAGTGGAAAGGCTGGTGGTGGTGGTGGTGGACAGATGACCTGTTCTCGGCAGCAGCAGAAGAACCCATTCCAACTCCAAGATCAAGGCTGATTGTGTCGCTTTCGTCTGATCTTATTATCCTCAATGGACTGCTACTGCTCATAGCAGCCGCAGCAGCTGCTGCTGCATCATGACTACTGCTATTCTTAGCTGCGGGTACATCATGATTGTGTTTCCCTTCATAAGTAGTGATGACTGCTTTTGGATCATGCGATGCCCTCTCTACATGCTTTCTCACCGGGCATCCTACATTTGTGCACTTGTAGTAGCTCCTGAACAATGGGCCAAAACAATAACTTATACAAATTAGCATCCCAAGTTCACACAGAAACCAACGTTACTGAGGAAACACTTACAAAAATCTTCCAAGTAATAATGATTTGGGGGGAATTTTCAATCATTAAGACAAGGAAAGTTTCAAATCACTGACAAAGCCTTCAATTGAATGATGAAAAAAGAGACAGCCATGTGCCTACTATAGCTGAGGCAAAAGGAATCCCCACTGACAAAAAGCCTCATCAGGGAAGATATAAAACAAATCTGATTTTATTTAAAAGGACATTATATTCAACAATGTTTTTCTCACTTGAAGGTAAGGTAGCTCTACTGAAAGCAACTGATTTATTAAACTAAATCACTATTTAACTTTTTAATTCGGAAGAACAAGGGAAAATATTATGGACTAACTAAACTTAAGGCTCTGGTTTTGGCCCTAAGTTAAAGGACAAAGAAAGAGCTTTTACTTGAAGAGAAGGACCCTAGTTCCTAGGCAACTGAACTTTAATTGCTTTCACTCTATCCAAACAAATGCTACTGAAACATTGCTGCTAAATTTCCCACATGTATGGCACAATGCAATCTCTCGCAAAACATCATATTTATCATTTTGAAAAATGAGAATCTTCAGAAAGTTTTTGAGTTACCAATCAATCCCCACAGCAGAAGGTCAGCCATCAATGTTATACTCTTGCCCAGAACGAGAACACAAATAATAAGTAGTACCTTGGATTAGGATTTCCTCTCACAACTTTCTGCCCATATTTGCGCCACCTGTACCCATCATCGAGTATATCGACCTCACTAAGAGTTTGAACAACAACACGTGGTTCACGGATAGGCTTAACCACTGGAGTGACATCAAAACTCCCAGTATCCATTTTCCTGATTCATGCACACACATAATTAAATGGCTAACTTCAATTTTTTTAAAGATCAGAAGGTGAATTGATTAGTAAAAATTTCTCCAGCAATAGAACAAAAGACACAAACCTGCGCTTTGAAAGGGGATCGTCATCATCTTCAGTACCTTCTGCATTTTCATCTGTTGCTGTAACAGGGGACATTTCAGAAGTACCATTTGGTTCCATGGTGTTGGACAGTTGGCTGTATGCACCAGACAATTTTTCTACATGAAAATCAAAATTCCATATAGAAAAGAAGCAAATGAGAAAATCTTTTAGAGCAAGAAAAATGGCAGCAGCTAGTAAATGAGATTTGAAAGTCTGCCCTTACCATCCCTCCCAGACAATATTTTATCGGATCTATCTTCTTGCACAGTCAAAAGAGCTCCAGCAGCATATCGGCGACTAGGTTGAGGTTTAGGATGGTCATGTGTGCCTTTATAAATAATCTCTGTTATTTGCCCATCATGAGAGCGCTCAAATAACTTCTTCACTTCACAGTTGGGATGTGTGCACTTGTAATAGCTACGGGGAAATTCACTTCCTTTCACAAGCTTCTGTCCATATTTACGCCAGTTATATCCATCCTCTGATGTCGTTAAACTTGCAGTTCCTCCTTTAAGATCAGAATGTGAGGCCTGGGGCCCACAGCTCGGGTTTCCTGTCTGGTTTTGTTCATCATCATCAGCTTCAGTAGTTGCAGTAGCCCCAGAAGTAGCTATGTGGAGACTCAACTCATTTGAGGAGGCTACCATCTCCGCTTTAGGTGAAGACAATGATGAAAATGATTGGAATTGAGACTGAGAATTGCCTTGGAGTTGTACAGATTGTTCCCTCACCTTATTCTTCATATCTGCAGAAGTCTTGAACAAATATTGTACATTAGGTAAGTTAAAAATTCCAAGCCAGAAACAGAAAAGACAAAAGAAATCAAGTCATTTATCAAAAAGAAAGAATCATAGCACAGCATTTAGAAGAGTAATTCAAACAAGCAACAGTCGTCAACTATTCTTTCCGTGATGCATCCTAGTGAAATACAGCAAGAGAAGTATGAAAAAAGTCGCATGATGAAACAATAGTGGATGATTTAGTACTGTGAAGGGAACATTTTGGTCGAGCAATTGTAATGATCCAGGATATCACATGACACATTGGTTAATATTTTGGATGGCATCCTATTCCTTAACCTTTTGTATCACTGCTTCAGTCTTGGCCAACATTGAACTGATTAATTGACTGCGTAAGTGCGTATATTAGGTAGGAGAAAGCAGCATCAGACGATAGGTCATGATTCACAAACATCTGAATGATTCCACATGCAATTAGGACATAGGCAGATAAAGACCACATTGCATAGCAACATAAAATCTCTTTGTTCGGTTTAATTCGTTTTGATCTTCGATTTCATTCTGATGCACTTTCTAGGGTTCATGCTTGTGCCTCTATTTCCACACTCAAGCTATCTTGACATCCTAAAGTTGCAGCAAACTTGGGTTGACTCAAATTCTGACTCCTTACAGTCACCAAGCAGTTCAAGAAAGAATGCATGTGGCAGTCTAGTATACATATAATTAGGGAGTACCATATTTGATATAGAAGGAGGCCGGAACTCAAAGAAGCTGGATGCTCTTTCCCCAAAGGTGTCAGATGAAACGGCAGTTGCTGAGTAGGAATTAGATAAGAAAGAGCCATGCACTGTTTGAGGCTTGATGAAAGATCCTGTAGTCGGGGACGGCTCTGCCTGCAGAAGGAATTCTCTTATTTAAAATTCAATACCACTCAGAGGTCACTTGAACATAAATTTTGAATGAGAAAGCTGGAGCAAATTGACTGAATATGAGCGGATAACACAGAAATAAGAGGCAAGCAAGTAGAATAATTCTTGCACTTGCTGAACCTCCAATTATTAGCACAGTATATCAGACAGGTATTGTTGCACTTAAGTGCCATGCATCTCAAGCAGCATCTGCATAACTTCTGGCTACTTATCAGCATCACTAAATAGAAAAGGAATTGCACTTGCACATCTAATCATGTGACATCATTCGATTCTCACCAGTCACTACCAATAATTCAAAATATGCTAGCACTAACATGGGGAACCTCTACGAATAATATCAAAATTTATTATGGCTTTACCTAGACAAATTAAGTTAGCACAATGGACTTCATTCTTGCAAATCGACAAAGATTCCCTCACCCAAGTGGAGAAACCCCCAAGAACAGTCACAATTCTTAGCATATGGCCGATTTCTTACCAATTCTATTCTCATTATAACAAAATCAGCTTGTGCTCACAACCTTGACCCTCATATCATATTTAGTGTCCCTGCTTTTTGTATATGAGGAAGACACAAATCTCATCACCATAGGACTTGTGCCATATTCTTCATGCTCATACCGGGAAGCCATCAGTTTGACAACCCAATGACACCACTTAACCTTACAGATACAATGGACCAGCTAAAGGTCAGATCATTATGTGAAAAACAAACACTGGGCAACTAAGGGAAAAACAGAAAAGAAGAGAAAAGCTCGTCCTGCCGAAAGTCATATTCTCCAAAAGAATTCTAAGAACGAGAATCTCGATCAAAGGAGCACCAAGTTCAGACCTTTATTATAAATATCATCAAGCATCCGAATCTCACTCGAGAAGTTGCACTCCCATCATGGGAGAGTCCCTAATTTTGTAAATCCATAAACCCTACAAGCAAGACGATATAGAAAAAGACAAATATAGTAACAAGAATTTTGGAATCCCGGTGTTCTGCATTCATTTCAGGGAGAAACAAAGAGCATCAGCTCCTTTATTTTTTCCGCTCAGAAACCTTTAATGGGTTCAATTCACCCACTTCCGTTAATTGTTATCCAGGGGCGTACGAATTCCTTACCTAACTTGAGAAAACTACACTACCAAAAGACTCCCCCTCTATTTCCCCGTCGATGACCATCTGCCTATCGAACGATAATGTACCGTTCTTTATCACAGCTGGGGAATCAACCCACCGGAGTGGAGAATCCTTTAAGCTTTACACGTTCTTTTCTGGGAGGCACAGTGTTTGGTTGGATTTGGAACTGTATTCTCTTCCCAGTAGTATAATCCATCCCACTTTCCTCTCTTACTCCGTCCACTATGTCCCCCAACCCAAACAGATCTCACGATTCCTCATGAAAGGTCATTTTCATTTCGTCAAGCTGAAATAACTTGAAAATTTAACAGAGACAAAGAAAAAAGGAGAGAACTACAGCTTTCGCCAGTCCAGCATTCCGCTCCACTTCCCAAGCAACCCAACACAATTGCTAACACAACCAGCACAGAACGAAAACTGAAGCAGCAGCAGCAAAAAAATTAAGAAAAGGAGCTCGCTCGATCCGAATCGAGGGAACATCAAAACGCACCTTAATATTGGAGAGCATGACCGGTGACTCGAGAAAGGAAGTCGGACTGAGCCCAGGAGGGATGGTGATGTAAGGAGACCTGGAGATCGGGAGCTTCGCCGGCGACATCAGCTTATACCTAGCTCCTCCTACACAACCGCCGCCGCCGCCAGAATCAGCGCCATTCTCCCTCTTCTGATCGGCCGAATCTTCGCAAGCAGAAGCAGGTGGAGCCGGAAGGCGGAAGTCATTAGTGTCAGCAGCAGTCTCCATTGGAGCAGAGAAAGCAAAAGGAAGGGAAGGAAGAATGCAAGGAAAAGGGAAAAGCGCAAGGAGAGAAAAGAAATTGGAGAGAGAGAGAGAGAGAGAGAGAAGAAAGGGTAAAAGGGTAAACCCAAGGAAGCAGGCAAGAGGAAGATTGAAGAAGCAAAGACGTGACGGTCAGTGGTGATGGTTTGCCGGGTTGGGCTGTGGAGGTTCTGGATTTAAATAATCACAATTTACTTGAGCTTTAAAAAAAATTAAATGATAATAATAGTAATATAAGGAGATGAGTGAGAGAGAAGAGAAGGTGTCTGCCGGCGGAAGAGGTGAAGCTCGCCACCGTCGGCGGCGGAAGCGATGGCGTCTGGGGAGGAGAGAAGTGAATAGGAAGGCAAAGAGGAAAGGTACAAATGAAGAAGAAGAAGAAGAAGAAGAAGAAGAAGAAGAAGAAGGAAGAGTGTTGACTTTTGGATCTGGAATTTCTGCTGTCCGTTTTACTAATTTTCTTTTTCCTTTTTCTTGTCCAGTGTTGTTGTTTTGTCTTCCTTGTTTTTTTTCTCTTTTCTTTTTACTGTTGTCGTTGTTTCCCGTTGGACTAACCTGGGAAAGGAAGTGGGAAGGAAAAAAAGAAAGAAACACCCTGAGTTAAGATAAGAAATGGAATTTTCAATTTTGACGATTAAATAAAAATTCTATATTTATATTCATTTTTAATTAAATTTAATATTACCGAATTTTTATCCATATTACTAATTTAATATAGCGTGCAGAGCTCCTAACGTCAATATTATAACAAACACGTACCATATTTTCTTATGATTGTGGAAAAAAAAATAGGTGAATAATTCTTTTCTCGTATAATCAGCTTCATAATTGAGAATATATTTGAATCAGGTGATACGTGCTGCAGCATGTAGCAATAACGCACATATAAGTTTCATGTATTATTTTAAATTATCCTTTTTAAGATGTGTTTTGAATTATTGTAGGCAAACAGTTTGATTGTTTAGTTGTTTTGTTTGCGTGACTAAATTACAAATTTGTGTTTTCAATTTCAAGTATTACCTCTCTCAAGAGTGTTAGCAAACGGATTTTCTTCTGATTTCACATCATTACTATGATTGGCATTCCGGTTATGATTACTTCCTTAGAAAAAATTCAGCAAATAATAGCATATTAATTCTTTTAGAATGGTCCGGCTTTTAATTATTTCTTTTTTTTTTCTTTTGTCTCAGGGTCCTTTTAGAACACGAGTTATACAATGCATATGTCACTTTCTATCCAAATCACTTATCAAAACTGAAAATAACTTCTTTATCAAAGTCGGAACAAAATTATTTTGAATGAAAAATCAAATTATTTCATTTTTTTTATGGTTAATTAAATTTATTTTCATTAAAATAGAAACAGAATTCATTTCCAACGGTAAATGGTCAAGGATTTTAATTTTATTTAATATATGGGCAAATGATAATTTAGTAAATTGAACGGTCTGAGTTTATAGTACGTTCTAAATTTTGGGTGCATAAAATACATTATTATTATTATTATTATTATTATTATTTGTAAATGGCTAACATATAATTTACAATAAAATCATTTGTAAACCTTATAAATAAATATTTATACATATTTTTGGCAAAACATATTTATAAATATTTAATATTGGGTTTACAAATCATTTATTAATGTGCACCAAACTACTTTTTATCATTACAAATATTAGTGGTGCACATTGCTATTATCACTAGATCAATCCATTGGTTGCATGCACATGGTAGGCTTGAAATTATAGATGCATCATAGACTTGCCTGAAATTTACAAATAATAATGGTGCATTGAAAGAACACAGATCTAGGTGTGCGATTAGGGATCGTGATTGGTATGAGAATTAGAGATTTAGGTGAGATAGAATTGGGATTAGGGTTGAGAGGAAGAGGAACTCGGTCACCGGGAAGGTGGCCGACGGGAAAAGAGGGAGAGGAAGGTGGTTCGGCTAGAGAGAGAGAGGGATAGTGCTTAGGGAATAATACTGTTGTTATTGCTTAACCCTATCTTAGGCCTAACACAGAATATATATAATCCGACTAATACCCTCTAACTACCCGAAGACTTAACCTAACCGATTTAACCCCAATAATTCCCGAAGTAGCCAACATAACATAAAATGTGTAAATAACAAATAAACCCCCAATTAATGACTATCTAACATCCCATCCCCCTTGAAACCCACCTTGCCCTCAAGGTGGACCTTCTTTCTTCTCTTCCTTCTTCTCTTCCGCTTCTCGTGCCTCGATCTCCTCCCCTTCATCTTCCCAGTTTCCGACAAGCAGCATTAGATGTCCCTTGGCGCATTGATGTCCCACCGTGTACCTTTCGTCGCAGTTGAAGCAACGACCATCTCTGCTCTTCTGGTCCATTTCCGCCTGAGTTAGCCGGACAAACCTCTTTGGTGGCAGCCTCGACTGGAACCTGTTTCCCGATGCTGCTCCAGTGGCCGCCAGGCTTGCATTTCCCGGCGGCGGCGCGGTACCAGCTCCTGCTCCCATTCCTCCACTGGCCTTCTAGATACGCCCAGCCGACGTCCTCCAACTAGCCAACTCCTCTTTCTTGCGCCCTGCAATCCTGAAAGTAACTTGAAGAGAGTCAGGTTCGAAAACCTTAACGGCGGTTGCCAGCTCCGGACGGAGTCCCGCCATACACAATCTCACCAGAGTCTCCTCCGTCATTTCCTTGCACTAGTTTTCCAGCTTAAGGAACTCAGCGCGATACTCGCCACCGACCCTGTCTGTCTGAGCTTGACCAGCTGTTCCGAAGCCCATCCCTCCGCCTTGCCAAACTGATACCGCAACTCATCCTGGAACATGGGCCATGATATGATCTCACCTGCCGCTGCATAAGCTCTCTCGGTCCATTCCCACCACTGGAGGGCATCTCCCTCAAGATAGAAGGATGCCAGGTGCGCCTTCCGCTCTTCTCGGATTGGGTGGTTCCTGAACCACATCTCAGCTGCATATAACCACAAACCCTTATCTCCCGAGCCGTCAAACTTGGGAAACTCTTATCACTGGCGGTTTAGCTCTAAATACCAATTCCTCTTCAGTCTCATACAGAGGGTTACTGTATTCATACCTGCTTGTGTTCGGTGGTGGCGGTCGATTCATCAGGCCCTGATGGTAGTGGCTGCCCGCGGCTTGCTGCTGGGGAGGATAGGGCCAGTCGCCTGTCACCTTCTGGTGGTTCCCACCGTACTTAGTCTGGGTCCCAGACCCTTGCCCAATGTCCCGAAAACCTCGACCTCGACCTCTCACTGCTCGCGGTGTACTCCTGGCCCCTGTCGAGACCCCTACCCGGGCCGCTCCAGCTGTTGTCTGCCGGTGGTTGACCCGGACCGGTTCAGTCCGGCCCGGTTCGAACAGTTCTGGTCCGTCCGGTTGGCCGACTAGTGGCCGGTCCGGTTCTGGCCGACTTCGGGTCCATGATCCAACCACATCTTGCCTCCTCTGGGCTCGGGTCCGCCCAGCCCTCTGGGTCCCCAAAGCTTAGCTCATCCTCCTCCCCTGTCCCAATCGGCCATGGTTCTCCTCCGTCGGGCTTAGTTGGCCACGACTCTCCTTCGTACCCCACCATCTTCTGCTTCCCCCGGACTTTGTCATGGGCCGGATCCGTCGGCGTCGGCAGCAAACCCGGTCCGTTGAATGCTGGAGCGGGCGCGCTCCTCGCGCCCAAATTCCACTACTCCTCGGCGCGGTTGCGCGACACGGCTGAACTCCCCGGCGCACTGCCCGCTGCGGCCAAGACCCGCGCCGCCCCAGCCTCAACACCGCCGGCTGACAGTTTCTCCTCCGCCGCCTCCTCCTCGCAGCGCGCTACCGACGCGGTCCGCTCCCGCGCTGCCGCGTGGCGGCTTTGCCTTGCTCCCGGCCGTCGCGTTGCCGCACTCCTGGCCCGTCGCTGCTGCTGCCGGCGCCATCCCCATGATCGTGATCGTCGCCGGCTCCCGGTTCCTCAGAACCTGGGTCAGCACCTCCTGTATCGTCGCTGCTAGGGCTCCGCAGATGTTTTCAGCCACGCTCTTGCCCATCTCCTCGATGGAAGCTTTGATCTGGTCGCCCATGGCTTCGATTTCCCCGATCGAGCCCATCGAGGCCTCAGCTTCCCTCACAGTAACCTCCGTCAGGCTCTCCAACGATGCTGCCATCGCGTCATACTTGCTTGTCGTCACATCCTTGACCGTCACAACCTCCTTGTTCTGGCGCGGCGGCTGCTGTTTGTTCGTAGGGGTTGACATCTTCATATTGCAGTGTTTCTTCAGAGAATCGGCACACCAGCGAGGCTCTGATACCACTGAAAGAGCACAGATCTAGGTGTGCAATTAGGGATCGTGATTGGTATGAGAATTAGGGATTTGGGTGAGATAGAATTGGGATTAGGGTTGAGAGGAAGAGGAACCCGGTCACCGGGAAGGTGGCCGACGGGTAGAGAGGGAGAGGAAGGGGGCTCGCTAGAGAGAGAGAGGGAGAGTGCTTAGGGAATAATACTGTTGTTATTGCTTAACCCTATCTTAGGTCTAACACAGAATATATATAATCCGACTAATTCCCTATAACTACCCAAAGACTTAACCTAACCGATTAAACCCTAATAATTCCCGAAGTAGCCAACATAACATAAAACGTCTAAATAACAAACAAACAAAAAAACCCCAATTAATGACTATCTAACATGCATATAGTACGTTTCAACTATTTTTTTTCACCGTTTTTTTACTCTTGTTCAATAATTTCAATTTTGGAGAGGGGGAGAGAGATAGAGATAAGAGATTGCCAGATCGACATGTCAATGGTTTAGACCGAGACTAATGACTTTTAGATGAAAAATCTAATCGATGACTCCATTTCGTAACAAAATTCTAACATGTGACTTCTAGGTTTAAAACTAGTGCTATTACCACTAGATCAGTCCATTGTTTGCATGCACATGGTAGGCTTGAAATTATAGATGCATCATAGACTTACCTGAAATTTACAAATAATAATGGTCATATAGTACGTTTCAACTATTTTTTTCACCGTTTTTTACTCTTGTTCGATAATTTCAATTTTGGGGAGGGGGAGAGAGATAGAGATAAGAGATTGCCATATCGACATGTCAACGGTTTAGACCGAGACTAATGACTTTTGGATGAAAAATCTAATCGATGACTCCATTTCGTAACAAGCAAAGCAGATGAACAATTTTGAATTTTTTTTTACGTGAAACAATGAACGCATTTGGAAGAAAAATGCATAGTAGACAAGCAAATTATACTACCAATCCCAAAAAAAAAAAAAAAGTGTTCATTTCCTTCGTCAAATTTCCATCTTTATTGAGCAGATGCATTTGGTATATAGTATTTCTTCTTAACTTCAATCTTAACCCATATGAAACAAACACATCTCTACATTCACAAAATGGATTAGGGCAAAGGTGAGTGGCGTAGGATGAGGTCTTAGTCGGTTTCAAGAGGGATATGCATATGCTATGCACCAACAAAAGCAAAGTATATAGAGAGAGATAATTCAATGAGAAATAATTCAACAATATTAAATGGAAATGATGGGAGAAGGGGATTGCTGGTCTGGCAGCCGAAGAAGAAGAAGAAACCAAGCCAAAAGCAAAGAAGCAGGGCTCCTTACACTGAATTCGGATGTGAGCCGAATTGACTTGCTATCAACCCATCCTCTCAACGTGACTCACGCACACAACTCACAAACCCCCACCTGTCATGTCTGGCCGATTTCGTAGCCGATGCATACTTCATAGCGAAGAGAAGAGATTGATTGAGATTGAAATTGGGAGCACACTCAATTTGATTTAATTCGATTGGATTCAATGTTAATCCACAGATTCGATCTAACTCAATCCCGTATGCATTACGTAATTGCTAGCTGTATGTATCGTCAAAGTCATTTCCAAATGTGACCATGTTACGGACATGTGTGTAGTCAACGCATTTACTAACGTGAACTTCATACCTAAAAAAGACTTATAGATGTGTTCCATTAATTATAATGATAATCCGTATAAGAGGAAAGCAACACGAGTACAAGACAGGGAGTGTGCATTGAATAATTATTTGATTCTCTCCATGTACTACTACTAGCAATCAATTATCATTAGCAAAGCAAAATTAACTCAATCGCGCTAAACCGTATGCAAATACATACTGTATATACATCTCTATTAAAGTTGCGAGGCGCAAAATGGCACGATACAGACTCAAAGAAAGGAAAAAAGAAGACAAATTTCCTCCAAGATAACCACACAAGTCGAATGAGATGCTTCATTGAACATAACACTAAACGACCAAATGCGATTTGCCAGAAAATGCAACAACAACAATTATGTATTCAACACCATTTCATAGGGCAAACCAATTCTTTGTTTGCAAAAAAAAAATAATAATTACGCTTTCACTTTTGGCCAACTTCACAACTCGGCCAATAGGGAAACTTCACATGATTTCCCCATCTATCCTTCTCTACTCCACCACTCAGGGAGGGAACATTATCCACCTTAATTTTCATCACTTGGAGATACAATTGATTAATTATTCCTGTGCCCAGAAAAAGCATATCTTCAAGCTTAAGAAGAACCTGTTAGGCGCCCCCTCAATTGTCTGACATCCCATTCTATCTAATCTACCAAGAAACACCAATCCAAATCACAAAGAATAGGCTCTGTTCATATGGGGGTGGGTCTAATCTCTATCTCTTCTACAAACTCCTGAGGGGACGTCGGATTGATTGACATCCCAACTCCATCGGAATTAGCTCTATTCTATCTACTGAGAGATCGGATTCCGATTCGATTGCAGATGGCATTTTCCATCAGAGAATCTCATCGAGGAGCTTCAGGTTTACTACTCGATGTGCTGCTAATCTCATCTAGATGGGGTGGGGGGTACTGTAAGGAAATGAACCCTGCATGTGCTTGATACCAATGGGAAACCAACAAATTGGCTCATAATGATAACAATAGGACAGTTTTCCTTCTACAATATTATTATTATTATCATCATTCCCAGTAATGGCATGCACGACTTGTGTTTTCTGAGCTAGAACAATACAAAAAAACGACCAAGAAGGAAAAGCAGGGCAGCAGCTATCAAATGGGTAGATGTGGGGGCAGAAGAACAGAGCTTGGGGCTTTTCATGAAGTGGAGCTAAAACCCCACAATCATGGAGCTGACAGCAACTCAACGGGAAAATGGAAAGCAATCCAGAAAAGAGAGGGAAAGGACAAAGAGAACCCAAAATGGAAAACAATGTGAAATTCAGAAAGAATATGTGCAGATGCCAGGTTAGTAAAACCAGATGCAAGACCAAAGTGATACAAAAACAAAAAACAGCAGCAACAAAACCAGAAGATGACAGATAAATCGATATAATCTTACATCCAGGGCCCGGGGAGGAGGGGAAATGGGAAAGCAAATGCCATTGGCGGAGACCCACATTTCCATTAAGCTAGTAAAAGGTCATCTGCTAGATATCATAAGCAACTTAAACTAGCAAGAAAACCAAATTGGACCACTCTCAATTCAGCTACTGACAGGGAATTGAACCTCTTTAAGTAGTTAACTAAGAGATCTACATCTTGCTTAAATAATAAACCTAAAAGTGTTTGGATCTTGGTTCAATAAGCAAAGAGAGAGATATTGAACGATGCCAATATCTGCTGACCCAAGAGATAATCATAGTGCATGCATGGCAACCAGGAAAGCATTTGCTTTTTCTGGTGATCAGCATTGTATGTCAGATAAAACAAATACTACCACCAAAAGTTGTAGATACTGTGATGGCCAGTAGCTAAAAAACTATTGAGGGTAGTAGGTTTGATGATGCTGAGGTGGATAACCACCATATCCATCATAATAACCAGCAGCAGCTTGCCCCCCACCATAATACCCTGGTGCAATTTGAGATTCAGAAGGGTATTGCTGTGCTGCTGACGGAGCAGCAGGGTTTGGGTTCCCAGGGAAGCCCACTCCAGCCCCATACTGTCCAGCATATGAACCTGCATAATGGGGAATGGGAGGAGAGGCATTCACCATCCCATAGGCCCCAGCAGCTCGATACAAACCTGTTGGCTGCAAATGAGGTTGGTGATATGAAGGGAGAACGGTAGATCCAGGAGCACCCATTGGAAGCGTCGGTCCATTTGTTCTCGGGCGCTTATTTCCATTATGTTGCTGATAGTGTTGCTGCTTCTTGGCTTGGAACTGCTTCTTCGCTTGCATTTGCTTCTTCTTCTTTGGCTGTTGTTGCTGTTGCTGCTGCTGCTGCTGCTGCTGTTGAGGCTTGGTGGCAGAAGATGGTGTAGTCTGTTTGCCATAAGTCTTCTGCTTTTGCAATGTCTCAATACGCTTTTCAATTTCCGTTCGTGGATACTCAGATTGAAGCTTGTGCTCATCAATGACATGAAGTACAGAATTCAGTGCACTAATTTCCTTAGATTTGGCCTCATTCTGCGCGATAAGTGAGAAGGGGATATCTATCAAATGATTTGAATAAACCAACAGGGGAGACAATATCAAAGGGGTTTTGCAGGTCACCTTTGTCTTGGCAGGAATCTTTCCATCATTGCAAGCTTGGTCAGTGGACTTTCTGCACTCTGTTAGATATGCTTTCAACAGCGGTACTGCTTCAAACTTGTCAGTCAATCCAAATTCAAAAATAAATTTGACAGCCAGAGGCTGTTTGCCACCATCTATAAGTTTCTGCACAATAACTGCATAATGGAAGAGAATGAATAACAGTCCGTATGTTTCTTTACTGGTAATGTACAGATTAATCACAAACAGAGCAAGAAAATTAAACAATCAAAAGGGAGAGAGACACATCGATTATCGAGGAAAGAAACGGAGTTGCTCATTTGGCACAGCAATATTTGGCCTAAGAATGTGCCTACAGGCTACAGGCCTACTGCCAGATATAAACCAACTTTCTACATCCTGACTTCCTTTCTACTTAAGGATCTCTTCACTGAATTAGTTGACCACAGTTCAGTCCACAGGACTCGTAGGATGCAGCGAAAGCAATCTTGATTTTTCTTTCTTCTACTCCAAAAAGACCACACAAAGTGAAGATAAGTCGTCACCACTTTACTGCAAAGTTCAGTTCGGATATCAGTAATTTATGTTATACTCTCTCATCGTAGAAAATTGGTTATTCAAAATGTGATGACCATTGCAGCCTTCAAGAGTTCAAGTCACTGATCATATGCATTTTAACCTAATAATGCCTTGCC